TATGATTTTGTATCTTTTATTTGATCAGGTTGAGGATTCGTAGATATTCGCAGATTGTAAAATGTATTTTTGGGACACTAAATGTAGAATAAACGGCGTAGTCTAGCGATAGTAGGGTTCCTAATCGTACTCCATGTGGAATATTAGATTGTAGTAGAATTACTCACTCCATCTATTTCTTCGATTGGAAATATTTGTCAGCTTGTTAATCTTAAGCGATTTTTTTATTTCGCACACAGGCATATTACCAACATGGCGAGAAACATTGAGCATGAGTCTACGAGCCCTATTGATTTGTCGGCCAAATATATCTGATCTCTGGGCCGATTAACCATCAAATATCCTATCCTGTCACTGTTTTTTTATACATTGTGATTCTTTTTATCAAACACGATTTTCTATTTCATCCTTTGGTTTTCCAATGCCCTAATCTTCTTTCAAGTTAATTTGAAGCTACGTTCATATCTCCTTTGAGCTGCAATGACTACAGCCTATATTAACTTAATTTTAATCTTTATTGTATTATTTCCATCATATTTCTGCTGCTTGCTTATTTTCTAAAATATTTTTCTTACCCACAGGCGAAAAAACTTATTCTTGGGGCCCTATTCGCAGTCTTCGCCTGCTGTTTATTTTTGCCGCTGTTCTCCTCCTCCTCCTTAGCCTGATTTCTTATCTTTATCTCAGTCGGAGCGTCATCTTCGTTATAGATCACAACGAGGCTGATTTATGTCCTGCATGTTTCGGCCAGTCTGCTTGCCCTGCATTTTTCAGAGGCGATGTCACTTTCGACAGCCTGCTTTTACGCCTAGGTACTTTTGGGCACCACCTCCATGATCATCTGACAGAGAGAAGGCCCGGAAGCGAAGTCTACCAAGCCTGGCTGGGTTAGTCATGGAGTTTGCTAGTTACTGCTATTGTAATAACCCTTACCTATCGAGCACTGCTATTAATATCTCCATTTTGCACCTATTATCATGTGCATTTAGCAGCGGAAACCTTGCTGGCTTAACACATCCGTGATGCCTTAAGTAATGCTGCCTCGCTCTCATTCAATATATTTCTCATGAGCCATTATTACGTCTTTTATCTGCCCTTCGGATTGCATTCTCAAGAATTTATTCTTTATTCATTATTCTATTTATGGCGTATTGCATCATTTTTGTCAACTATAAGCTATTAAGCACATGCTATATGACCTACTGTCGAGTAACGTTTTTTGATTGTTTGGATCTGCTCTTCAATCGATGTTTTTGTTTGTGTCACTCACTTGGATGCATATATACTTTCATAACATTAAGCGCTTTAGTTATATTTGAGGCTCTTTATTGAGAAATTTTCTAATTCTTTGCCATTGTAGTAACTTGAGTGTTAATTTTATCACTAATCTAATCACATTTGCTGTCCGTTATTCAGACAGGTCAACCATTAAGACTCAGGCACTCAAGTTTTCTCTCTATTCCCACCTCTGGAAGGCAATCTTGGTCTGACCAACCATTATTATGATATCCACTTTCTCAAACTAACATTTTCAAGTGGCACACTATATGCTCATTGTGCCATCTTCATATTCCTACTTTAATTCCTGACTTCCACTGTCTCTTCGCGCTTAGG